CGCCGCCGCCAACGCGGACGCCGAGCCCTGCACGGCGGCACCGGGGGAAGGAGAAGCAGCGGGCAGCTGGAGCGTTGGGATATCAGGCTCATGCACCGTTTCTATCGCCAGTGGAAGACAGTTGAACCTTTATATCTTTTTTTTTTCATGTTTCATTTGCATATTGCACAATTAGACTACAATTTACACAGCACAGAGATGGGCAATACTAAAGAAAAAGTCTTCTACAAAAGGCAAGAAAGTGTATTCGCGGTGGTTATCCTTCCTTAAGTTAGCAGCCTCTCCTCGTTAGTCAGCATACTAGAAGCCACTGCTTGACTATTTAAGTTAGAGGAGGAGAAAATTCTCCTTAAAGAGGCAAGATAAAAAGGTACCGGGCTTGAGAACATGCTCATCCTAGAGAGAACCAGATTTCACGGGACATGCACAATACAGTTGAAAGGTACTGTGGAGCAAGTAGTTCCTCTCTACTCAGAGGAAGTTCTACCAGGGAGTCTGCATAAGACAAGCTGCAGTCAAACAGTCACGTTGACAACGGAGAGAGGCACGGAGACCCCAGGACAGACAGGAAAGCAGCTTTTGAACACCAGTTGTAGAATCATCCTTCCTGAAGGTAGTTTGGCAGTTTTAACTTAACAGCAGCCAGCTACTGCCAGAGCAGAGCATTCATGGCAGTTGTTCCCAAACATTCACAACACCTAAGCCTTAACTTCATTATTGAGATCATGATCAGAAGAGAAAAACACACTAAAAAAAGATCTTTTTTTTTTAGAGTATTTTAGACAAGTGTTTTTATGTTAGAGTTTGATACTTTACAGAGTTATGCTTGACTATTCAATATACTCGGAAGGAATATCAAAGCATTTAATTGGGGTCCTATCACTTGCTAACGTAGAACCCAACATATTGCTTTTGCAATGCCAACAGAACTATGGTCTAGAAATCAACGGTGAATGGCAAAGAATGGGGCCCTGTCTTATAAAAGACAACAAAACCAAATGCTGTGGGTTTAAGAACAGTAATGCTCAAGGAACATAACTTTTTGGAGAGGTTCAAGTCTTAGAAAGAGATCGCTGCTGTAATTTCCCTTATAAGCCTATGGCGTCTTTAAAAGCTTGCATTATATTCTGGAATTGCAATACCTTGAAGTTTAAAAATACCAAGACACAAAACTCCCCAGGATCACATCTTCTCCCTGTCGTGACCGACTGATTTCACTAGCTATGGTGGAAATTCAAGTTCACACCTCAGCCTACCCCTCTGTGCCCAAGTCTTATGTGCTTCCAGATTAAAATAAGGCCTCTATAACACCTACTGAGACTGTTCAAGTTCAAGTAAGGTGAAATTACAATTTCACCATATGTTTTGACATACTCCACTCTGGAAAACTATTTTAGTCCGGCTTGAAGCAAGATGACAACACAATTAAGGAATACTAACTAACACTATACACCCACTGTTGTAACAATTTCCCCCTCATCCACAAATGGAACTGGCAACTTTAATATTAGATTTTCTGAAAGAAAAAACTCAATGTAACAAAGGCAATGCTCGTCCCACTCTGCTAGAGCTTGACTCAAGGTAAGTCTAGAAGACTTGTGACTGGAGACAAAAAGGCTTGGAAAGGAATAAAAAAAAATATATATATATTCTTAAACCAAACCTAGACAATGGAGCCAGTGTTTGCAGCTCACTGTTAAATAACTGGAAGACTAACAGCACCAACACAAACCCCATTCTGAAACACAGCTTACTGAGGACAACAAGAGCCTGAGGGATTACTGTTACCACAATACAGGAAGACAAATTTATTCCATGGTACCAGGGTATCTTCTAGAGGGGAGAAAAATACCAGATCTCCTACCCCAGGAATTAATGAGTTTAGCATATATTCCCCAATTGAAGCATCTGCATTATGTTTAACACCATACAAGATATTTGTCACTGGGAAAGCCAGGAGTTCAATAGATAGCGTTCGCACACCCACTAAGCACATGGTCTGAAAAACAAATTCAGAAGCAATACTGTTCAACACTTCAGTTAGCCAGTACAAAAAAAAAAGAAAAAAAAAAGATGAATTTTCTCAATATTTAACCTCCAAATCAGCAAAGCAACTGCTCTATTGAATTCAGCATTCAGTTTGAACATTACAAGCAGTAGTTTGTAAGCAAAATCTGGGTCTCTTCTGAACACTCAAATACCAAGATATCCTTTTGTAGAGGAACTTAGTTACTCTTTCTCTAGAAGCATGAGTTTTCATCAGACATTCAGCATGCAAAAGGACAGCTTACCAACAATATAAAGTTCTATAGGTGTGTGTATTTGGTTTTGTAACAAGTAAGCAGGGAACTAGCAAAATACACGAAGCTATTCAGACCCTTTTATAGACTCATGCAGCATAGTACGTACCCCTTCTTGCTTTGTGAATAAATTGAGGCAGTCAGCCAGGGCCTCACATGTTTCCTGGGATACTTCAGAGACCACATCAACTTTTTGCAGGAGGGGAGAAGATATTCCTGAAAACACGAAAAATTAGTAGTGTTAGGGGGACATTGTAAACTACAGGATTCTTTTAATTATTTTTTTCCTCTGAGTAATACAGACATAACATTCATATTCTACAGGAAGGCTGGTGCACTGTAAGATCTGCATGAGGAAAGGGGCAAGCAGAAGTAGCACTGAGGGAACGTAAGTTCTCTCTTGTGCATCCTTTCCCTAGTACTGGTGTAAGTGGCACGTGCATGGATCGAGTTTCTCTTTCAGCATGACTTAGAAAGCAGAGGTAGTAAGCTATGGCAGCAAGACACTGGAAAAGTGACTAGCAACAATCTTCTAACCACTTTCTAGATTTAAAAGCCTCAGAGTTGCCAGGTGACAGAATTCAAATACAAAGGATACCGCACTAGTTTAATATAAGTTAAAGTGAGAAATGTAGCTTTTTTTGCCTTCTGCCGTGGTATCATGTAGAAGAGAGAAAGCTTACCACAGTGCAGCTGGAGATTTAGGTTTGAAAAAAAATAGATGGGGAATTACAAGCACACTGATCAATAAAAGGGGAAGGAGATCTTATTTTCACGGACGCGTCTTCTGGATAAGTAGTACAGCTTGCAGAGCAATGCCACTTCACATCCTGACTTCTATGACCATTTATAGAAGGGGCTACATGTCTAGAACCAGCAGGAAACCATGATAACCCAATCAGCTGGTAGAAATTATTTAATATTTGAGTTCATCTTTGAAGTTTTGTGATGTGCAGCAATTCCTCAGAAGTCAAGCAAGCCTTTCTCTCAGGAAGCATACTTGTTGTAATTAAAATAAGTGTTCATTTAGTGGCTGCAGACTCCAGGATCAGTTGACACCATTTAGTAACACAGGTGCTTCAAGCTGATATCACACCAATAAAGATTAAGAGGTCCGGCAGTGACAGTTCTTGAATTTATTTTGCAACTTCTACTGCTTGTGCAGGACAAGATACAGTACATACCACACACTAATTGCTGTCTTTGATACCAAAGCTCACTACTGACTGGAATTAGGAGTCTCTACTTACAGCAGCTATCAAGAACAGCTAACGCCTCTAGAAGGAAGGGCAGCACACTGAGTACAGGAGCAGGAGACAACTTTATTTGTAATAAATAATATGCATAAGTCTCAAAGATACCTGGATTTAGAACAGCATGTTAAGACAGTTAGGGAGAGAATTTTAAATATTGGGTCCCAAGATAGCCATTTTTATATTACTCAAAAGCTTTTAGAAGTTCTACAGGGAAGGACTTTTAACTCAGAAATTTGCATTCTTCTGGAGCCAGAGGATTTGAATACATTAAAGATACCACATCAACCCAATGTGAGAACTGGGAGAGCTGCAGCAGTTTTATCCGTTGAGACCTACACAGGTTACACATGAACCTGGAAACAGTTCAGTGACCCATCGAGTTACAAACATTCATTGGGAGGAAAATAAGAACTTATTGCTATTGGCCAAGACTAGCAGTTTCTAGGAAAGAGATAGTATCTGTTTTTGCTTCACTATGGGTTTTGGTTACTCAAGTTGTGTATTTTAAAAAAAAAAAAATGCGTGTCCTCACAGGTTCTTCAGGTCAGCAATGTGGGGTCAGAGAAACTGCCCCTATATCTACCAAAGGGAATTTATCCACCTCATACTAATTTTCAAACTGCTTTTTGTGAAGAATTCAGTTTTATTGTATTATTAATTACAAAGGCTTCCCAGTAAAAACACCCATATGTATTATGAAACCTTACTTTTCTCTGTGAAATAAAAAGTTGGTAAAAATTCAGTTAGTGCAAGATAGGTTAACATCACACAGTAATTTACCCCAGTTAACACATGGAGAAACACTGTATTTTAGACTCCTTTTGGGAAGGCACAGGGATGGAAGAGGAAGAACTTTTTTCCCCAAAAAACTGCTATTCTATTACAAACTATGCATTTGTACAGATAAACAACTTGTTCTCTAGTTTGAGCTTCATAAATTTTAGTCACAATACATAACTAGGACTCAGGTTCAAAGGAGCAACAGTTAGATGTTCTTACAGAACTCCTTTCTGTGTTGAATACGTGAGCAACTTCTGTACATGTTTAAGGCATTAAATGAAACAAGTTCTAATCTCTAACAGCTTGATACTTGTGCTATTTTTTGGCAGTTATGCTGCAAAAAATTCAGGTACATGTTAATTTAAGAGTTATCATTTAAAATGACGCCCGAGAAGTTCAAATTTGGCATAAAACTCATGGCAGAAGTCCGTGGAACATATCCCACACACCATGCCTCCAGTTCCCTGTATAGTTTTGTGATTTCACTTCACATCCTGTTTATCATGCCTCAGCTTTCATTGTGTTTCTACTCACTACATGACAAGGTTTTTTTGAGGGGAAAGCTAGAGTAAGACAGCTAGCTCTGTACCTGTCAGGGGACACTTATGCTCTGCAATAAGCTACCAACTACAATTTGTTTGTTTCTTGTGTTGTTTGGTTTTGATTTTTTTTTTTAACCTTGAAAGTGAACCCCTCATTTTCCTATGATGCTACTCAGTAAGCACTATATCTGAAGGCAGTCTCACTACATTTACACCCACTAATAAAATTTCTTTCAATCAACCTACTTAGTTGTTTCTCCAAATCTGAAGTCTTAGTTCTTGGCAATTATTATAATGTTACTTTATTTGAATCTTTTTTCAATGAGGGAAACTGTCCTATATTTTCAAGCTCCTGAAAATTTAATTTCAGTGATATTAAAACATGTGCTGCTTAAAAGAAAAAATTAGTTGCCCCGTAAGAAACTGCATTTTAGAAGAGTAAGTTTTACCTTTTGTAGCATCCAAAGATTTAACCATTGCAAGAAAGTCTGAAATCTCTTTATTGAGTCTTTGTTGACATGCTTGTGCTTTCTGAAAGACAGCAAGGATAGCTAGATCAGGAGTGCCTTGTTCTAAGGAAAGTGTATGTTTATTCTCTTAACTATACCAAAATTTTTAAATTTGGAGAACATTAAACCTTAACAAAGATTCCCAGTGACAGAGACTGATACATTAAAACTGAAAGAAATTACCTGAAGTACCTTCAAAGACACACAAACGAACAGAAGATTTATACACATTATATTGCTGACTGGCTTTTGTTTAAATTAGCATAGCAAACCAAACCCCAAAGCTATGTTGCATGTACCACTTTTGCATTTTCCCCTCTTTTTTATTAAAAAGTTTGAGAACCCATGAAGAGCCATTACTTGTTCTTTGACAAACCTGAGGCCAAAATAAGCAAATGCATAGGTTAACTGATGTATGGCAAGTACAGCGACATGCAGGAACCCACTCCAAGATCATATTCCAAGCCTGCATTTGAACTTGGAGACAGTCATCTATTAGATAATACCATCTTCTTCTGTAGCCTGCTGGGAACTGCCAGCAACAGTTATCCTCCCATCTCTGTTCTGCCATGAGCTACTTTGAGTTCTTGTATGGTACAAGCTACTTGGAGTTCAGTCACAGGAAGAGTTTTGCGTTGCAGTGTCAACTTTCCCTTAAAGTAAAAGGTTTTAGAAGTATATATGTATGGCAAAATCAAGAATCACAGGCTGAACGCCAGAATTATCAAGGAAGACTCATTTCCATTGCGGGTCTGAACAATCACTGTACAACGCATCTAGTGTGACCTGAGGTGTTAAAGGATCATTTCTAAGCCATTTCATTGCCTATTTTATAGAGGGTGAAGGTGAACCTCGCTGAAGGTTAGCTTTGTTATCCTCTAGTCTTGGTGTCACCAAGTACAGTACGCAAGGCTCCCTCTCCTGGCTGAAAGTCTCAAGCAACTTTCTACCTTGCAGTAGTGCTGGTAAAACTGAAAAACACAATCCTCTAGCTATGATAAACATGCCCTTTTATGCATACAGTCTGAACAGGAATACATGACAGTAAGCAGTGCAAATACAAGCAGCATTTATACATCCATGGAAAGAAAGAATCATCACTTTTAGACAGAAGTACACTAAAGTATTTCAATACAAAACAGTACTAATTTGCAACTGCCTAGATGCATGAGCCAAGTACTCAGTACATACTTTAAGAGTATCCTGTAGGTCTGTAACAGATACCGTATCATCCTCATCATCATCACTACTCAACTGTTCCTGTGTGCAGTAATGAGTGCTATATGCAGAGTGGTCTTCTATTGCTTCCAGCCAACTCTGAACAGAAAAAAAACAGAGTTAATTCAAAGGTCATCCCCAGAAGGCAACAGCATATCATAGAATCATAGAATAGTTTGGGTTGGAAGGGACCTCTAAAGGTCATCTAGTCCAACCCCCCTGCTGTGGGCAGGGACATCTTCAACTAGATCAGGTTGCTCAGAGCACTGTCCAACCAGACCTTGAATGTTTCCAGGGATGGGGCATCCACCACCTCTCTGGGCAACCTGCTCCAGTGCTTCACCACCCTCAGCATAAAAAATTTCTTCCTTATGTCTAGTCTAAATCTACCCCCCTTTAGTTTAAAGCATACATGCAAAAGAACAAATTAAAATTTTCTATTGATGTAAGATTAATTAGTAAAATGAGACACCTTAATGAACAGAAAATAGATTGTTAAGATTGTAACGTGTATTCAAGATGAGACACTCTGTGGTCAGAGTGCTATCTAGGATTTAATTGACCAAACTTTAAGCACAAATGCCACCCACCCCTCAGTCTATCCAAGGTCACATAAAAAAAGTCACAACAATTAAGAAAAGACTGTAGGGAATGTATTTTGCATCTTTGAGTTTCTGTTCAGACAACAAGGTCTCTGTGACAAAGTCTGCCTTCTATGTGTGACAAACTCTGTGTACAAAACCTCAAGCACTATCATAATTAAGAGGTAGATTCTTTTCCTGTTCATAGAATCACAGAATGGCTGAGGTTGGAACAGATCTCTGGAGGTCCTCTGGTTCAACCGCCTCTGCTCAAGCAAGGCCACCTACAGATGGTTGCCCAGGATCATGTCCAGATGGCTTTTGATTATCCCCAAGGATGGAGACTCCACAACCTCTCTGGGCAAGCTGTGCCAGTGGTCGGGTCACCCTCACATTTTTTCTTATGTTCAGGAGGAAACGTGTTTTAGTTTGTGCCCATTGCCTCATGGCATGGGCATGCCACCAGGCACCACTGAAAAGAGCCCGGCTCCGTCCTCTTTGCACCCTCCCTTCAGGTATTTACATACATTGACAAGATCCCCCTGAGCCTTCTCTTCTCCAGTCTGAGCAGTCCTAGCTCTCTCAGCCTTTCCTAGTATTAGAGATGCTGTGGTCCCTTTAATCATCTTAGTGGCCCTCTGGTGGGCTCTCTTCAGTATGTCCATGTCTCTCTCATACTGGGGAGCCCAGAACTGGACACAGTACTCCAGTTGCCTCCACCCCTACTTCATCTCTAGTGAAGTACAATAGTAACTACACTACAAATAGCCCTTAAAAAAAAGTTTCTCTTGTTTCAGATCCACCTTTTAAGAAAAAATAATTTATTAGGTCATCTTGGAGAATGGCTAAGAGTAGAATGTACCATTAAACATACTTTTGTTTGGGATAATGAACTATGGAAGAAAGTGCAACAGAAGGAAGTTGAAATAGAAATCTACCACACAGAGAAGTTAAAAAAAAAGAGGAAGTTAGACTACAGGGCCTAATACAGGCACAGAGCTGGAAAACAAGGTGGCACTAATTTTAAAGAAGAGAATGGCAATCTGTTCATTTTTGCTATTTAGTCTATAGTTGTGCTAAAAGATTCGATATATGCACTTATGTTACCAAGTCCTGATGATCACGATACTGAACCCACTACTAATGCATCTATAGCAAGCAGAATGCAGATTATTCATTACAGAAGTTATTACATTTTACAGCCTTTGATAAAGAGTCATTATTACCTCTCTAGTTTGAGAAGGAAGGCTATTTTTAGGAATCTTGAAACGATGAACAGTGTCATCAAAACATCTGACAGAAAAGAAGCAACTGTCTGTAGATTTTACCTAAAGCAATGTGGAGAAAAGACAAAATTAGTATAATGAATCAGTAAGAAAAGACAAAACTCTTACGAGTAAGCAAGGTGGAGAATTACTCTTAACTCAGAGGTTTGTGCCTCAGTTTTGATGCGAAACAACTATAGCTTACAAAAAAGCTTGGTCAGAACAGTTTTGCAAAGTGTGCTGTCTTGCACTTTACATAATGAATGAGAATATAGAGGTTGTTTATGTCAAAATTTTGTATTTGCATATTTGCACCACTTGATTCAGGCAATATCTCAGCAATGGTGCAAGACCACCAATATTAAGGAATTTGTAGATGTAGAAAAGCAAGAGTCACTTTTCATACAGTACTGTAGTTTAACAGAACTTGTGGCTCCAATCTGTAGAACTAGGACAGGTTAGTTATAGAAGAAAAATTATTGAAGTGATCCTGAATGCATTCTCCTTAAACACTTCATCTTCCTGCGTATTATACACAACACCAGGCTTGCCTTTCCTCTGTCCTCTGTTCATCCCTTCCAACTAAGGAAGTTTTCCAAAAGTCACCCTCAGAATTAGTAAGTTGATCTCAGTTGGAAAACTGAAGTTACACAATCAGTCACAAGTAGCCAGTGACAGCCACAGGAGGAACTGGAGCTTTGCTATTCTGTATCACATGCTCCAAACAGTTGTTTTGCACAACTGAAGAGGTATGCTTTTAGGAAGCCTTATGTTTGTTTAAATCTTTATGACTTTGGAAAGAAGTGAAGGAGCTTTATGGCCACTTTACGTATAAGAATACTTTGCAAGAAACACTGGTTCTTGTCAAGCAAAACCACAAGCTTTTCCCCCCTTTTTTTTTTTATAACAAAGGCGTGCTTACCAACCTAGCTGAAGTTTTCGTTGTCTAGGTATGGAACACCAACACATAAAAAACCAGTAGTTACAAGTTATTTGACTTCCTACCGTGCAGACAGCTTGTGTTAGATGCTTGCATCCCTGACGATGATCGTTATTTGCTGCATCAGCTCTTTGAAAGAGAGAGATTGATTTAATAAATTGAAGATGAGAATTATTTAAATCGCTTATCAGAAATTTAAACACAGAACTTACTGTCTCCGATACCAGGAAAGGACTCCATGTTCTAGAACTATCCAGTAGAGTTTCCAACCAAAAAATCGTGAGCTCTAAAAAAATTAAAACAAAAGCAAAACAAAAAAGGCCAAGTAAGGTTAACAGCTGAAGAGTTACTATTCCCAGTAAGTTTGATAGCATGAAGGCTATTACATAGAACTGGCACTCATTAGGAAAACATTTTAGGTTTTACGTATCTTGGTGATCACAGCAACCTGAGAATGCTTCACAATTACAGTGCTATTTTCTTTTTTGGAAATACCTAAAGACAAAAGTTTTGTTGAGCCTGCTACTCAGTAAGAACTGAAATATTAAAATGCTGCATTTTTTAACGTTACAGGGGTTGTTGATCACCACATAATTCTACTTTATAAAATCAAATGAGAAACAAAACACATTGAGACATCTAACTACAACATTTTACCTTCCACAAGCTTTAGTACATAGTTCTGGTCTAAAAACAGTTCCTTATATTACAATTGTGAGTGAATACATAGGAAAATTTACACTGAAGAAAACTTCAAGAAGTCTTCAAAGATTTCATTAAGGAACATAAAAATTAAGCATTCATGTAGAAGATGGAGAAAGCTTTTTTTAACAAGGGAAAAAAGATTCACTTGAATATCAGAGCAAAACAAGCTTTAAACAAGTGTTTGACTGACATCTTCCCTCTAAGCTTTGAAATTTCCAGAAGAAGGTGAACTTGCAGCAAAATATTAGTTACAGATTATTAAAGAGTAAGACATCTGTTCAGGAAAGAAAAAAACAACAAACATTTTGCCCACCCACAGACAAGACAAAACCTTACCACAGTGAAGCTTTGCCACAAAAATTACCAAGAAATGAAGAGAGTTTTTAGGGACTGAGCTTAAGATCAGAATGCCGTAAGTCTAGTAACTGCTCCACTCAGCCAGCCCATCTATAATTTATCCAATATACTAGATTAAAGTCAAGTCATTTAACAAATGTATTATTGAAAAGCTCCCTCATTCATCAACTCACTTAAGTACAGAAAATTACATACTTCGAGATCTTATAAGCTATTTTAGAACAGGAAATAAGACATACCTTCCATAGGAGACCTTCATATCGTCTCAGGGGTTTGTTGATAACCTGCACAGAAATTAAAGCTTATGCAGGAATAGCTTCAACTAGACAGCCTTGGCAAGTAGCATTTTAAATGGGTACAAAAAGTTCCTACCTTTCCAGTTTTACCTCCCAATATCAGTTTCATTTCTGCACCTTGGGCTAGATCAAGGGGAGTCTGATCTGTTTAGTAACCAAGATGAGGCATGAGAATTTAATTCACATAAACCTAGACATACTTAACTTAAAAATAATCACTCCGACACTGTTTACCCATTAAAGTCTGGTCCCACAAGCATCCAAGTTTACTTGGAATTGAGGAACATAAGCTCCTCGGGCAGAAGACCAAAAAAGGCTCTGAACTTTAGTGCACTGAACTGCCCTTCGGAGTTCTCCGAGCCACAGAAGAGGCCTTTGCTCTTACTTAAGTTTGGTTTTGCACTTCAACTACATAGAACAGTTAAGAACATTCATAAATAGCAAGATAGAGACATCTTTAATCAGATGACAAGTACACAGTCTGCATAACATCTGCATAAAATTTTCCTGGATTTGCTTCCATTAGAAGCCGCCTTCTGAAAAGTCACTTGGTCTGGGCCACACGTGCAATCTTATCACTTTCTTTGTTATCTGTGTTCAGTGTTTAGCACCAAGAAAACAAAAGCCAGGCACATTTCATGGTTAAGACAGACAGCAGGTAAATTTTCTAGAAATGTAGAAATGTAGTCTGGAAAATAAAAGCATATGATAATTATTTTGCTACAGTTCTTAAGTCTCTTGTAATTTAGTCAGTGTTGGGCTTCCTTTATTAGTGATACAAAGCTTGTAGAGCACCGTAAGATTTTCCCTGAACATTGAGTGGTAAGTAACATAGCTTATAGAAACTGTTAAATTTCTGTCTCTTCTTAACACTGTATGTACTTTCATTTGGTACTCACCATTTTTGTTTCTTATTTTAGGATCTGCTCCATTTTTTAGAAGTTTCAATGCACAGTGCTTATGGGCACGGTATGCTGCACAATGCAGTGGTGTGTTCCCCATCTGATCTGTACAGTTGATATCAGGTGGTTTGGGCTTGTTCAACTGGAAAAAACAAAGTTTTGCTTACTTATCAGTTTTCCTCCCTCTCCAGATGCCACGTTCATTCTTTTGGAAGTTAGCTGTTCCTAACTAGGATGCTTCACTGTAGATCTGGCAACAAAGAGGGCATGTAGCAAGTGTTATGAGAAGGGCAAAGACAACAATCAAGCAAGATGTTCAGCTAGAGTAAGGAACTTCTCATTTTTTTTGCTTGCTATACCCTTTCCACATCTGCACAACATGAAAACATTTATCCTGCTCAACTGCACAGTGCCAGAGAGAGTTCCCCAGCATTGCAGTTCAGCATTTATATTGCTAGAACGGGCCTGAGTCTACTGTCAAAATCTGTTGTTCTCTGTAAAAGACTCCCAGGCACAGTCTGAAACTTATCACAGACCAGTGCTAAATCCAGAAGGAGTCTGTGTGGCCACCCTCATTCAGAGTAAGAACCTTGTACAAAAGGGTGGCAGGCCTGCCAGTCTCAGTCACAGAGCTATCCTAGGCCATTCAGAAGCTCCCAGTATAGGCAGTCTGTTATACAAACAGTTTTGCTGTACTCTGAGGTTTAACTATTGTGGGAACTTAAGATTAGAGCAGCTATGTAACCGAAGAAAAAAACCCCTGAGTTTTACTCGGACATTATATAAATGTTTTGAGAAATTGACCCCATCAAAGAGAACGGTCATTAAGCATGACACTACTAACTGCCCTAAAATACCACTACACTTCTACTCAAATATGTGGCTATTGGATGTACACATGGGGGTTGGACTAGATGACCTTTAAAGGTCCCTTCCAACCCAAACCATTCTATGCAATTATCAGCCGTTATAGTTAAGCTTCCGAGCCAAAGGGGGACTGCCTTAATAGAAAGACTAAGTTACTGTTAAGCAGTCTCAGGAGACTAGAGTCACAAGTGCATGACAATTTTAGAGAAACTCAGTTTAAGCCTTCTGCATTAGCCATATGCTATCTTAGAGAAATTACTCCATAATAACAGAATTCCCATGGCAGCAATTTAAGTTAGTATCAACAGTAACCACCTTAAATGTGCTTCAGAAATAGTCCTATAAAGGATAAACTGCTACAGCTGTTATTTACAGTTCAACTGAAAAGAGAACACAAGTCAAAAAAGACAACTTGTGGAAGTATAACTTCATTAATGCTGACATCTTAAATACCCGAGTTCCTGAGGATTCCTAGGTTTTGGCTCTTTCCTACCAGCTGTTTTACATCTGCCTTATCTCCACCTCTACTGACTCCTTACCTCCACACCTTTTAAGCCACATGCCTGTGCTTTCAGCAGCTCACACCTTGTTCCAAGGCAATATTTTGAAGAAAGTTTCATGCATAGACTCATTGAGATAAAAAGCTCTCCAGTTATTTCAGTAATATTTCACTTTTGAGAACTCATAGGAAGAACACACTGGTTTTGCCTCAAGTAGACTAAAAAACCTGGGTTAACATTCAGCTACTGAAGGTCTAGGTTTTAGTGGCAAAACATACCGTGATCTAGTGAGAATCCTGACAGAAGAGAAGCACAAAAGCCACCATTACCATTTGACTTCAAGAAACATCAATAGAAGGAGCAGTTATAAAGTTAAAGCACATGCAGGAAAAGGAGAAAAAATGGTCTGAAGTAAAATTAGAAGGTTTAGAGAAACTGTGCCATTAAACTGTTTCTTCTAGACAACTGTGTTAGGATACGCAGTAGTCTTTTTTGATATAAACAATCAAGATAAAAAGAATTAACAAGAAAAGGGTATCTTTCAAGTAAGTGGCACTCTGTTCCAAAAGGAGGGCAGTAGAGAACAAATTCTGGTGTGTTAGGTCTCACAATAAAAGTAGACTTAAGCAACTAAAGAAGCTTCATAAGTATAACAGTCTGCTAATTAAAAAAGATACAGTAGGAGCAGAAAGGTCTGAACATCAATAAGCAAAGTGTAAGGAATTCTCAAGATAAAGGGCAGTTCAGAAGAGCTACACAGATTCTCCACAGAGGTATTAACCTAAGAGTAGGAAAGTCAAGGAGGTTTACACCACAGAACTGTAAGTGAAGAAAGTTCTTTGGACTTCCTCAAGAGTCAGCAGGAGTTTTAAAATTGTAATTCAATGGCCAGAGGTCCAAGTACTCACCAAAGGACTCCAGGAAAAAGCTGTTATGACTTAACAACTGCCTCAGGATCAAAAAAAAGTGATAAGTACTTTGAAAAGTTTTAGAGGTCAACATATAGCTGTCCTCACATATACAGAGCTCAATGATACTAAATATAAAAAAAAAGTCACTTAGAAATGAAAAATGTTTACAGGAAGAGTTACATGTGCATGCATGGTTATATGCCACATGAGAGAAAGCACAAAGTTCTTTAATGACAGATTTCTGTGAGGAGTCACCTTTTTCTGATTTCTTCCTGCATCAGTTTAAGGCTTAGTCAGCAGGCATGCAACATCAAATGCAACAAGTGTTAGAAGTTACCAGAATCAAGAACAGATGACTTATACCAGTGTATTAATTGTAATTAATACAATCATGCAATCATGCCAGTGTATTAATGCCCTATTCTTCCACATCTTAAGTACTGTGTACAGCTCTGGTTCTCTCTCCATTTCAAAGAGGATAGTACAAAAAGTACAAATAAAAATTACAAGGATGACCAAAGATTTAAAGACAGTTTCCAGGCAAGAAGGAGTTAGAAAGACAAGGGTTTTTCAGACTAAGAGAGATAAATTTAGTGGAGGGAAAGATAACAGAATTTTGAATAGGTGTTCACTCTGGCTTCTAGGCAGAAGAGGAAAGAATGTCAAATTTCAACATACAAATCTCATTTGTGAATTTTCCATTAGAAGCGAACAGCAGCATTCAGACTGCTTTCATGTCTTAAAAGGTATTACCTAAAGGTGCTAGCCAGGTAGAATAATGTTCTACACTGCACATCTTTCTTCCAAGGAAACTCTTCAGGCCTCTCAAAAGCTTGCATTCAAGCACTGAGACCCTGCTTCAAAACTCAGTGGATATGGTCCTGGGCAACCTGCTCTAGTTGACTCTGCGCTGCAAACAGGAGTTGGACAAGATCATCTCCAGAGGCGCCCTCCAGTCTCAGTTCTTCTGTGATTTGCTTTACCTTACCATGGTATTGTTCAGCTTGAATTACTACAAGAGTCTGTGTGCACATACACAGTTTTCAAGTCCTGCTCAGCATGAGATTGTGTTGTGCAGGCAACTGTCCATTAAAAACTACAGAGACTTCAGCTGCAATGGATGATAACGACAAAAGCTAACTTTGAAGACTTAAAATAGGCCATACTGTGGTGAAAACCTAGGCACCCATGACATTAACGTATCCACAAAAGCATAACAAACTTATGTCAGTAGATCTAGAACCATTACACTGCTATTTACAACTAACTGAAGAGTATTTCGAAACATGAAAGAAGCTGAAAACCATTGTTTTGCAGCCTCTAACAAGGAAGCTGGAAAACTCCTGAGGGTTCAGCACATTATCAACATAACACAGTGCGCAGCACTAATATTCTGAAGTCACAGCACTTTAAAATGCAAGGCCTAATGTCACATGTTGTTACATTAGCATTATGGCTTGAACCACTTGACACAAAGTATTACAAGCACTTGAATTCTTACCAAGGCAATCAGTTTCCCCGTTTCCCCCTCTCTTGCTGCTCCTAAGAGTTCTTCTTCCAGTTTCCTTTCTTGTGTCCTTTCCACCGCTATTTAAAAAAAAAAAGTTTAAGGTCAGTCTCAATAAAGTAGAAAGTACATATAAAGTACAGCATTCAAGAAACTGTATCAAAACAAGCCTAGAGAAACAAGAGTTTCCAGTATTATTTATTTGGGACAGGTATAAATGGAATATTTATTTAAAAAAGTCTGTGTAAGAGCAAAAATATGTGATATTTGACAAGATGTGTGAATGTGTATACATATATACACGTTATTTTTTTAAACACTTAAAACTCAACCTCACTCCCTAGTAAAAGAGATAACAGGGGAACTATGACCCCCATCATCTTCCCTGTGTTCTTTTCAGTTTCTCTTCTACTCTTCCTATCATCCTACAGAAATTTTATTCTTCTCTCACAATTCAGCAGATAGCAGCAGAAAGGACTGTTTATCTGTGCACTTGCATGTAGAATCAGAAGAGAGATCACTTTTCACATATACAGTCTGTGGTTTTGGACACAGAGCTTCAGCAGTATTTAGGGGTATCACATAATAATACCAGGAAGCAACACAGTTCTTGAACTCTCCAGAACTATAAGCAGTGAGCCTATCTAAGTATTTGGACACCATCTCTCTCACTTCCAACACCTGTGAGGCAATGGAGGAAATGAGGGGAATGGCTTTTACTTTTTTTTCCTTTTGACATAACCTCTAAGACTGCAATAGCAAGTCCTAAACTTGATCCAAAACTGGGTCACCTTTGCAAACTGGTCAGAATTTTGCTCTTTAATGATTTTGTTGACACAAAGTCACTTACTATTCTTGACTTGAGTTTTTCCTTTCCCAGTGAGCTAAGGCTTTGACTGCCATGTACCATTCAGAGCTGTAGCAAGGATTACCCCAACAGGATTGAAATAGTTACTTGAATAATACTATTGGCATTCGTGATACTTAACTCTCCAAGTCACTTGCAGATGTATTGTGTAAAAAAGAAAAAAAACAAACCACAACCGTCAGTACTGCAGACAGGAACCAAAAACTGTAGCTTTTTTCTTTCTAATGACCAAATTTAAAGAGAAAATTCAATTGAGCTTCTGTAACTTGCAAGATTAAAAAAATCAGCTTTTAGAATGTACAAGTGTTTGAAAAAAAAACAGGCTATGACCTATTAAAGTTACCTTCCAACATAATCCTTATGTCTTTATCATGAGTAACTTCTTTTGCAGTCTCTCCACTCCCATTAACAATAGAAGTATCAGCATTACGCTGCAAGAGTAACATCACCACCTCCTGGAAAACAATTTGAGAAACACTGCTTATCTATCTCTGCTATGGCAAGGCCACAATCGGGCTTTCCAGCTATTGACATCCTGTAAGATGAGCTGTATAACACCAGTGTGTTCCCACCACTGCCGACTTACAAAAACAGGAAGGGATGTTTTGGAGAGATTGAAGAGTGGGACTAACTGCAACCGTCTCTCTCACATCAGCTGGGCTGAAGGAACGAACAGGAAATTAGTTACAGTGGAACAGACCCGCTCCAATTTAAAAGCTGGTGTACCTGGTGCAAATGCTAAATTTGACAGCTAAAAATAGTATGATTGGCTCTTTTGATAAGAGACTAAGCAGCCACTCCTTCAGAAGGGCCAAGAGGTTATCCATGGAGGTAGTACTAGTTTGGGAATGACAGCGGCATGTGGGAAACAATCAAACTAGTCTCACATTACAGGCCTATAAAAAGCTCTTTAGTTCTAGTTTTCTATGAAGAAACAGCACTTCCAGACACCAAATGGACCAGTGTGTCCTAATTTACGGTTCCCCCCGCCCCCCCTCCAAGAGCCACTAAGATTAAAACAATATCGTTTCTCTCTGTGTAAATATGCAGTTAGTTAGGAGGAACAAGCCCTACTCCTTTTACTGCGTCAAACACACCAGGCACAAACACAAATTAATCTGTTATGCTTTAGCAGTAGATGGGAGATCTACACTGTTTTCCACATGGTAATTAGCACCTGCAGCTAGAGGTAGTGCTATGCTTCAGCATTTTCTCTGACACACAGCAGAAGCAGAACAGAAGCAACATCAGTTAGTTACACCAACTGATGCACAGTGTTACAGTGGAAGACAACTAGTATTTTTTTCTGCCTGCCAGCAAAATCTTTGCCAATAAAAAGCTAAAAAAAGATATGACAAAGTATACCAAGGAAAACCATGGACCAGTCTTCTCCTGTCTTCAAGATATTTGTGCCATGTTTTTGTTTTGGACAGAGTTATACCCGCTAGGCAATATGCCTACTTCTTTTGAACACACTGTACCAAAACAGGTAAGTCATTTTTAGACACTGTAAAAACATCTTTTTGAAGTGATCTTATTGCTAGCATTTCCTTAATTCTATGATTGAGGCTTAAAAAAAGCAAACATACTTTACCTTACGTCCTGTGAAAGCTGCACGATGGAGTGGAGTGTCCCCCATGTCATTCAGCACATTCACATCTGCACCAGCCTGAACAGCAAGACCAAAAGACATCTGAATGTCCTTCCAACAAGAACTACATAGCTATTCCCTTTAACTGGGGGAAGGGGGAGGACAGGACACTAATGTAGGCCTCATGGCAAATCAGATCAGAACTGTAACACAGCCATGCTGGAAATGAAGATAAAGTACATACATAAGATTCTTAACCAGCGTTCTACAAACTGCTTCAAAAAGGAGAAGCCTCCTGGTTTTTTTCAGGCATCTCTCTCACTTTTGAGAAGAAGGTATATAGAAAATAAGTTTAACACAGGGGATGGGGGTATTGTTGGTTTTTTGGGGTTTTTTTTGCCGCAGGGGGGAGTGGGGGTGGTAGGTGTTGGGAAAAAAACCAACACAAAAACCCGAACAACTTACAGAAAGAACTGCAATGGTACTGGATAACATGCATACACATATTATTACAGATGTACACACAGTAGCACAGCCTCCTAGTGCTCCTGATTTAACAAGTGGCATTCTCTCTAGACACCTATTGCTGCTTTTTCACATGAAGTGAAAGCTTCCATGTCAGCATTAAGATGGTACCATCTGAAACTTAACATTTCTCCTCCCTTTTCTCTTCTACAGTCTTTGTCTTCAATCTCCCTTCCTCTTGTCACACACTTTCTCCATCCCATACCTCTTCTCTGAAAGGAAGGCTGCTTGCACAGGCATTGTTCCAGGAAACCCTACCCTTCTTTTCTTTAAGCATTTCTTCTACACCACTTTACCTAATCTCTCAAAAACTCAGAAAGAGGACAGGACATATATAACTATCACATAATTTAGCCAGATCACTGCTGCCTGCCTAAAGTTAACTGATGAACCTGACTTTAGTTCCAGAGCTCTGTTTTTTGGTAATACCTCATTCACTCGCTCTTTGAGCACAAAATCTAGGCACAAGTACACAGAGACACCTATAAATGCTTAGCTTTCAGAGGTACACAGCTTCCTTTATTATTCCACTCATTCTTTAAATAATACCCTTTCAAGAGCCCTATCAGCAAAGAAGAAAGCACAGAGTTACGCATACTCTTCCAACTCTGGAAGTGTTGATAAATGCATTTAAACTGACAAAACTTTACCTTTTGCTTTAAGTAGCCCTCTTGGATTGAGAACAGCATCATCTACTGAGCAGGTGCGTAGGCTAGAGAAGAACGTCTCAAAGAAATCTCAACTTTGTTTCCTGCTTTAGCCACGATTATGGCTGGTAGCCTTTATTCTGAATGAAATTCAAGTTTAGGTTAGCTACCTTTCTATTTGAGGCTGTTTAGTGTGTTCCTGCCATCTACAGCAAAACCTTTCAAACAGAAATAGGGTATATACAGGTAAGGTTGGTTAAAGCTACCCTGAGAGCTGAGGGTAAAAAACAACTCAGCCAGAAACAACTGCAAATGCAGTGCAGATGTGGCTATAAAGATACAAATAGGTCAGCTTTGACCACAGAGGTTCATAATTTCAAAGTTCATCACACAGTTCATTATTTCAAAGATGTTAGAAAGAAATAATGAGTCAAACTACGTTAGCCTGTGCCTGGGAAGAAACGCATAAGTTACTTGCACAGAATTCTGGACATACTTCTATTCACAACCTCCAATTAGGTAACACAGACTTTTTTGCATCTGAAACACTTTAGCCTTTCCTGCGACTTGGTAAGCGAAATTGCCTAAATTGTATACTTTGTGTACTACAGTAAGCTAGATCAGGCCCTTGAAACCATTTGCATTACTAGTATCAGACGCTGGCTTACTATATGCAGATATCCACTGAGCCTGAAAAGGGCTGAAGCTTTCACAAGTGCATACCTATATACTATACTTCTTCAATTCCTATATTCAGATGGTTACACAGACAAACACACATCCTTCATGAGAAAGTTAGAGAAGTACTGATAGCTGTAAACACTGTTCACGGTAACAGCTGTATACTATGGTATAGACTGCCCGTGTCACTATTTTGGGTCCTTGTAAACTGGGCTGATCTTAATACCGCAGCTATTTCATTCCTTAGTTTTAACAATCAGCTTAGTTATCTCTATGTTACATGCAGATAAACTGTAGGAGTGACTCTGCCTCTCTACAAAGCCACCTTTCTTCTATCACAAAAAACGAATAAATACCAACTGCTTGGAGCATAACAAAGAATTTTCTGCCTTACACACAGAGGCAAATAGAAATATACCTTCAGCAAATCCTCTACCACAACAGCATGTCCGAAGTAGCATGCAAGGTGAAGAGGTGTCCAACCCATATTAGATTTACTTCTGCCTAAAAGACAAAACAGGTAAATTAAGTTTTGGTCATACAGTACAAAAAAGATCTTGTCACGTGCTTGGAGGCTGGCACTGATGATCATTCTTCACAGTAACAGAGGAGCAAGGAGGCTGGAAGCATCAATACTATTCATGCCATGTGAATTATTAAATCAGGATGCAGTGTAAGAATGTTAGATTCAAACCTATAAAATCTTTCTGAAAAGTCATGTAGCCTGATGGAGAATAAAACTTTTGTTTTCATGTAATACCTTGTTCTCCAACAGTAGCAAGAAGCTTCAGTTACTTTCATTCACTATGAAAATAGCACATGCAAGTACACATTTCTCTTGTTTATCAAAAACCAGTTTGGTTTATCTGATTTTATATCCTGCACACAAATGAGAGGTCAGACAACCCATCTTTCCAAGCAGATGATTCAAACCAGAACAGGTGGGATGGCCTAATGTTAGGGTTTTTTGTTGTCTTGTGCTTGTACTCAATTTTAACAAAGATAGCCTTACTACGTATCATGATTTTAAATCTTTGTGCACTGCAGAACTCATGTAGCATCTACAGCTGCAAGCCTCTGCAGGAATGGTAAGCATAAGTAGGAAGCAGGCACAGAAGTGACCATGCAAAGGGATCTATCATTTATGCTTTAAAGAGCATTTAAAGCATGTCCTGGAGGACTGGCTGTATGAATGAAATTCAAGAACTATCCTACAATCACTTCTTTAAAAGCAAGATATTAAAAGTATTAGAGATTACTAACTTAACAACTCATGTTAGTTTCCAGTTGCAACACTTAGTTGTACTAAGCAAATCAGCTTTTGTTCTTTGTTTTTACTAAGCAACAGACCCATAGCATTCCAAGTGCCACCTAAAAGCTATGATTTTGTATTTGGACGCAAAATGAAAGTGAGGCATTAGAAAGGGTTTTGAAGTTACCGCCACCATTAAGCTTTCCCTTTTCATGTATCCTCAAGCACTGAAGTCTGGAACATGCATAACATTAAGTTTGCCCCGAGGGGACAAGCCACCAGCACAAGGGAAAAGAGAACTGCTGGTCTTGCAAGTTCATCATTCTTTCTGCTCTCATATTACAAATTAACATTAGAATGTGGTTCACGGCTGAAATATTTTCCTATTTCTTATAATTGTTTCCAGCTAACATTTCTGCCCTCTGTTGGCTATTTCTTTTGTTATTTGGTTCTCTTTCTTCTCAACTCCTGCTGTTGTTCCAACCCCAGATTTAGTATCTTCCCCTCATCCCAGCCTGGCCTACAACAGAACTCCTGCCTTACGTGGCTGATGGGCTAAAGTACCACAGAAGAGAAATACTGTGTGGATCACTAATTCTGGGGCTACGTACTGGACAACATACAAAATGGACGTCATTCATCCCTCAGTCTAGTAGGGAAGAAGGTTCTTTCAAATAACACAAAAAAGGTCCCAGTTGCACTGAATTCATACTGTTAGCCCAAGACAGTCCTTAGTTACAGCACTGGCAAGACAATGCTGCTGCTAAGAAATTCACATGAAAAAAAAATCAGGAACCTGGCCAGATTTGTAGTGCTTACTAAATAAAGTGCCAGAGGCCCTTGTTCTGCATCCACTCTGAACATCTGCATTTCTGATGTTAGCTGACCAGTTACTTCTCAAGCTCTTGAGGTGTTTATTACTTCTCTTCAAGTGACCACAAGTGTTTGCACTTTTTTTTTTAATTATTTTAAACCAGGACATCATTACACTGATGAGAATGCAAGGATAGGAAAGTAGAATAAACAACAACAAAAAAACTGCCCTAGCCCTCCCACCCAGTTCTTTGCTTTGATGCCAGTTAGCTGTAAGTCTCAAGTGTTATCATTTGTTTAGAGAATGGAGACAAACCAGGCAGTCATCTCCTGGTTGCCATCTGCCAGGCTACTGTGCAGTCATTCAAGTGTATATTTTGGCATAATGCACTGTTGACCACTGACCTTATTTTACAGTTTTCTTACTTTGCAAAGTCCTAGATACTCTATTTTCTTGCATTTAAGGAGAATACGCTAACGTAGCCTTAGAAAATTTGATCATTTTGGATGAAACCCAGGTTTGGTTCTGTTTTAGTATGAATACCTTCTTTTGAAACCAGTGAACTGAGAAAACTGGAAATGGAAATTCACACCATTTGGCTAGATTCTCATCAAGCAAGTCTTGCTTATCTGCAAGTGTTGACTGGCTAGAATCCAGTCACAACAGAACAAGTAGGAGAAGCCTAGATTTATTTTCTCTTCCTTCATTTTGGCTGAAATCAGGATGTTTGGGATCACTCGACAGACTTCACACTTGTGAATCTAGAGCACAGCCTCAGATATAAGCTCACCCTTTGAAAGACAAGACAGGTTTTACAAGATTGTTGAAGGTAGGCTTTGACACCCAGGCACATTAATGTGTCAGACTTACGTCTCCCAAGGCATGCTCTGGGGTTAAGTTTACACTACCCCCAATACAGTCTCCCACCTGCTCCAAAAGTACTTTATTCCAAGCCAAGTGTCATTGCCACATCAGATGCAAGTCCTGAAGGAACTGCTGCAGCATTGAAGACATTTCCCATACCCTGACTTTCTAGGGATATCTGATTATCCAGAAGGTAATGACAGAAGGACAAGAGGCTGTAAGGGAAGAGAAGGAAGATTGAGGGTTGCAAAAAGTCAGTTACAGTCTACAGCCTGTATTTTAGTTAATCATCATGTGGTTGTGCAATTACTATCTGGTAGTACCTAACAGATCAGGATTTGTAGCAAGACATAGTGGTTTTGCTAATGAGGAGGCAGAATAGCAGGGGTAGTTATACTGCAGAGGCAGGCTGGCCTGAATTTGTCTTAGACTATTTCCAATGGGATACTCTGCGGGTGCAAAGTGATTGAAATAATCAGTCTCTAGAAGAGTGCCTGTGGAAGAACAGAGATTTTACTCCGAAGTTTCACACAACCAGAACAGTTCCCCCACAGAACACTTTAGTGTCCTCTAACATTTAGAAGAACCAGAACTTAGAGAACAGAGATTTCACTGTGTACAGATTCCATATTCAGAATTATTTTGTTTAACCTGAACTATCACCAGCATGTTCCCTCTAGTTTCCTAGACCTCCCATTAGCAATTATGTATTAGCTGGCTGGCTATGTATTGCTAAATTGGAAGATTAACACCTGAGCACCATCTATCTTTCTCTTCATTAGCTGACTCTCTTCTACCTGGCTGCAAACTTTCACAATACTAACACTTGACTTTGAGCAGGAACGCTGACCAGAGACCAGTTTGCTTGATATAATACAGGACTGCAGATTATGCCATTTCATTATGCTTTCTTGACTTCAGATTACGTTTAAGAACACATCTGAGAAGCTCTGAAATATCTTCTAAGCACAAGAGACTTCAACTTATTTATGGGTACTGTTGCATGAACCTTAAGGTATTTTTAATCCAGCTGTTTAGGCACTACACACAATGTCATGAATATTTGCAAAGGACACTTGTGAGGGTGGAGGACTCTAGTTCCATCAAGCTCTGTCTAGTTCCCCTTTAAATTATGAACTAGCTCCCTGAAGTATCAAGGGTTTGGGTTTTACAACTTGTTTTTCCAGAGGTGAGCATATTAACTATTGGGAAAACAGACATGGCTGAGTAGTCAAACAAAAGGATGAGTAAACTGATGATTAAGAACTAGAGTTGGGAAAGGGATAGAGCTTGTTCAGATAACAGGCTTCCCTGCTCTTTAGGGCAAGGTGTTCCCTCTGTCATGGCTGAGAGAAAGCATAGTTGCTTTCTCCCTTCTCCCTTTGCAGCACTATCTTCTCAGTGCTGCTTAACAGTTAAATGCTGAACAAAAATACCAGCCCATGCAGAAAAGCGTATATACACATCCACTTTTTTTAAGCAACCAGAAACACACTCATGTAAATAAAGAGACATAGAAAGAAAGGTACTAAATGAATGAAGAAATAGGGCAGTCTGTGACTGCTAACAAGGTTGCAAATCCAGCCCCGGTTTGAAGTCTTAATGCTCAGCAAGTTGCTTAGCTGTAATTATGTTAGCTATGCACGTGCAAAACTTTAATGCTGGCCAAAGACCCAGACACAGATGACTGGCAGTTTTACTTTCTTTTCCCAAGTAACCTAGTACACTGCTAATAGTATACGTTTGTTCCAACCATTCCTGCAAGCGGCAAAAGACATAGCTGCTCCTACTACATGATAATGAAACACGGGCCTTAAAAAAATCACACCTAGCAGAGCACAAATAAACTATCTAGTCTTCTCTGCTGCCTTGTTGGAGACTCTTTACCTCCTTGAACGATCCCCTGGCACCATGGTCTGTTTTGTTTAATATTATAAAGCTCTGAAGTTGGCATAAGCATGAGCACAGGCAGAAAGAGAGGTATGATTCTTTGTCTTGTTGACATTTCTAGCTTCTGTGAATTAGTCTGAGGTTTTCTGTACATTACAGTTATCTGTAGTCCGCTTTTATGATCTCTCCCCTAGGCAAGTACGGCCTTAAGAGTCACAGGGTAAAAGCAGTTGTATAAGTGTTTTTTATTACTCTGTTGAGCACTCCAAAGAAAGCAAGGTTATACTATCAGTAACAGTTTCACTACCTGTGGCTTCAGCAGTGAGATTACAAACATTTGAGGAAAGCTACTAACCTTTACAGTTGATATCAAAGCTTATTTCTCCTTTGTTCATGGTATCCAACAGCTGTTTAACTTCTTCAGCATTTCCATTTCTAGCATCATGGAGAAGCTGCTGTTCTGCTTCCGTACTCATGTCTAATAAAGATATGAAAGAACCAATTTTGCAATCTCTTATGCTGCTGTAAGTTATGGCTTAATATTATGTCACTTTTCTCCCTTACTTAATATTAACACCAGTATGAGACAGACAACTATTTCCTATGTGGAACACATTTAATGTGCAAGCTGTTTTCAACTGTCCAGCACCCAGATATGCCATTAAGAGGCATTAAAATTCCTCATACAAACAAAGCAGTTAAATAACAAAATACCCATGTTTCCTTGCTTCTTGGTTTTCTAGGTTCTAAGTGTGGCTCGAGAGTTGGAACTATATGCCACAAACAAGGCAAGCTTTGCTATAAGCATAACCAGAAAGCATTTACTTTTTCCTCGTAAGGTTTTTACCTTTACTCCTCAAGGTTTCCAGAGGCAATAAGAAAAAAAAAGAAAAAAGAAAAAATATATATATGCCTTTTAGCCCAAGCATTTCTTCAGAATTAACTAAGACCTATTTTGACTGCTAACCCTGGGGAACAGAATCCACCTTCGCATGGAGATCCCCAGATAACTGTCAGTAACTGGTATGATCAGCTCTTGAACTCAGATACCTGTCCGCCTCCAACCTTGACTTGAAGGGGAATCAGATACTCAAACGACTTTGTAGATTTGACCTTATCTTTAAACACAATAGTACAATATAAAGAAGTTAACATGCAACTGTAAAACATAACTAGCTAATTGTCATCTTACCATTGCTTTTGAACTACAAAAAAGGTGCATTTACATCTTTCAAAGAATGGAGAAAACAAAACCTGTTATCATCGCTATTTTTACAGCTCTCTACTAGACAGTGAGCCCAAGACCTTTGGGCAAGTGATACTGCTACTTACCAGGTCTCTCACTGAATACAGTTATTAAGTGATGTCTTGACCAATCTTTTCACACTGACAGAATCACAATCTTAAGTTGTTTTGCCTTTTTTTTTTTAAATGCTATTACAACCACTAGAGCCAGATGCAGCACAGCTCAGCACAGGCAAAACCCAACTTTAATGTCCCATTTAAATATACTGCTTTTAAGAGGTGTCAAGAAGCAATTTTAAAAGCAGCCTTAAAAGACTGTGCTATAATACACAATTTATTGCTACTAAAAACAACATTAAAAGAAGAGGTTGCCCGAATTTAGTGTCTCCAGTTTATATCTTCACCTGACACACTAGGTTTACCAGATCCTGCAGAATCTAGATTTCTAAAGTCAGTTAATGATTGCAAAGAACACTACTGGCCTCATGGTTAGCTTTCTTACACTAGCAGAGCTTTTGATTGGTCCCACAAACTGTTTACACTCTGCTGCATTGGGCAGGCAGCTTGATTGCACCACACACACTCACAGCTAGAATAGATGCAGGGAGCTCTGCAAGTACTGTAAGATGAGAAGCCACTCAGCAAGAGAAAGAGACAGTGAGAACACTGGGTAAGCAACAAAAAGCCTGTAACATATCTTGTAATATTCAAGACTGAGACAGAAGCCTAGAACAGGACAGACTGCCAAAATGCTAACAATACAGATAAGAGAGTTTTCCCCTACCTTTCACTCAATCGGCAAAGGGAA